AATCATTAAAGCAGAAACAATTTCAATAAGCACACATACACACTTTAAGGCGATAACTTACAAAATACATTCAAGTCTGTTAATTATGAAGAGCGTAAGCGATGTCAACGAGGCTTGCTGTTTGGTATGACACAAAAGAAAACTTTTTTTTAGTTTTCTGTGGCTAATAAATGGTACTTTATTCTAATAGGCAACACAATAAAAAGATAACAGTATATTGATAAGATCGCCTTCTAATTGCAAACCTCATATACCTTGATCTCAAATGCATGAACAGTTATAATTGCAAACGTGATAGATAATAGCGAAATCTTAAAATTAACACGCAACATGACCCCGAGGGTATGTTAAGCAAAGAAATAAAGCATAATGTTTTGATTTGAAAAAAGATATATTGGTTCTTTTTGCTGCTAATTGTTAAGCAAGGAAATAAAATATTAAACAAAAAATATTTTATTCTTTTTTGGTGACGAATATTTAAGTTTCTATGCAACATGACCCTGAGGATATGTTAAGCAAGGAAGTATAGCACTAAAAGAAATAATTTTGGTGCTAAACGTTAAAGTTAATATGTAACATGACCCTGAGGATAGGTTTAAGCATAAAAGTAAACTATAATGTCGAAAAAAAAATTATAGATACTTTCAGTGCTGTCATTGCACAAATGATGCATATACTTTTCTATGTATAAATGGGTAGAAATACACATGAAAACTCATTTTTTTTTACACACGAGATATAATGATAAACATTTAGAATAAATCATCTAATATAGAAACAAATTACATGTGCTAATGTCGGACATAAAACATTATATACTTCTAGTCAAACTAAGCCTTATCTTGAAATAATATACCATTTAGATAACATTTATATTTTGAAATGCTAAGTGCCCCAAACAGTAACAGCCTAACAATTAATAAGTATATCATTATGCATAAGTATACAAGTGGAAATTCTAAGAAAAAACGTTACTAAAATTGGTATTTCTAATACCAGATAATGAAATAACATACCACCAAGTTTTCATAATAATGAGTGTATATATATAAGCATATGTATATATATAATATATATATATATGAATCACATATCAATTGCATTTTGTCATCTGCTGACTACTACTTTATACTTGCTGTATAAAACCCCCAAGGCAACATTCAACATTACCAATGTGATAAATACACAAAGGCAAATCTAAATATAATAGTGATGCACAATAAATACAAATCTATCAGCTACTTGATATAAATCCATTAAACATTACAACAGGTTATATTTATAAGACTAGTAAAGCTAACACCATTAATATCACTATACCAACACATTTTTTGAGTTGGTATGATTTATTACAAGAGTAATAATAAGCTACAGCGAAGTCCTGATAATGCTAGTTTTTCACAAGAATAAGAAACATTCAAGTATTTACTTTCATCTCTTACAGGATTTGAATAGCAGGAGCAAAAAATACAATGCATGTCAGAGATAGCTCTCTATCATTATTTGCCTTCAGAAAAGAAGTGTCATTCACTAGAGGCTTCTTTTCACCAACTAACAACACAAAATCCTAAGATTTTTGATGGGATAACAAGAAAAATTACAGAATAAAATGAATTTCTTTGAAAAAATTTGAAATGCTCAGTTCCAAACCAGCTTGACTTATTTCCACAGGTATTATAGGAAGAAAATACCTTTCATTTAAAGTTTTGATATTGGCTGCTTACAAGTACAGATACTTATGACTTATTTATTATTTCTTTTAAAAAAAAGAAAGAAAAGAGTTTAGAAGCAAGTTAGTTTTATATTAAGCTAGCTTTAATTAAAGTTTATTTTAAGTTGTTGGAATAAAAAAAAACAGCCTTATTTCAAAGGTTATGATTATTTTTTTTGGTAGAGAGGGGGCAAAACAGAGATTGGTATTATCAACGCAAATCCTACTATGAATGAAAAAGATAAAATAAAGATATTGAATGGGTCAATATTACTGCTTATTTGTTTAGAATAAGATAATTAGCTATGCAGGGAAATGAAATAAAGATGGAATTGAAAAGTGATGGCACAAAAAGTGAAGTTTAAGACTGAAAGAGTTTTAAAGAGTTATTAGTTTAACAGTATACAAATAATTTCTTTTATCAAAAAGCTGGAATATTTAAAAGTCTTGGTAAACATTTGGAATCAGAATTAAGAAATTGCACTCTTTAGCCTTTCACCCCTACAGTAGGTCGATAAAATGAGTACCAAGCAGGCTTGAGAACTAAACACTGGGGGTTCCGTGTTAGACTGACCACCCAACCGGAACATCTGCTCTTGCACCCCAGAGCCCAAGGACAAAAAAACTGAGGCGAGCACAGTAGGATTTGGCCTTCTATGGGCTGTCACAATACTGAGTTTAGCTTAGTTTAATTGCACTCTTAAAATTATTTTTGTGTACCATATTAACATTAACTGAGTTTACTAACTTCAAAAAGTATTACCACAAAAAATTGGGCCGTGAATTATTTCGTAAGAGAAATGAACAGCGCAGAATTACATTCATAATAGAAATACTAGACTTAAAATGGTTTTTGTAGAGATTAACTAAGATTATCAGGACCCTACTGCAAATTCTAAACACATAACTAATAACTGAATGCACGAAACACAAATCTAAAATGAATTAATAATCGAAAAATCTACGTATAGCGATAATAACAAATAGTAAATATAAAACAATTACGTTATAGGAATAATGATCATATATAATAAGACAACACAGAAGTAAGAACAAACCACTATCACAGGGGTTCTTAACCTTTTTTTAGCCACCATTCAAAACCAACAACCAAATCAGTTTTGCAATTGAAGCTCCTTTTGAAAGTTTTTAAAAAAGCTAAATGCATACTCATTATTTTTAGTTCTTATTCAAGTTCAATAATCAAATCGGATTTTAGACCACAAGTTTCTTTTGAAAGTTGTTAAATAAAAAAGCTAAGAACAGATTTATTATAAAACTTTTTTAATTATAATGCTAAATCAGCAAACAAATTAGCTTTGCGACCAAAGCTCTTTAGAAAGTTGTTAAGTTTTCAGGCACTGCAATTAGCAAACTTTCCAATATGAATAAACTTATTAATTTAAGAGAAATTTATGAAGTCACCTAGCCCAGAACCTTCTAAACAGAAGAGTTAGAATTTTTGAGACGATGGAAGCAATTGTCTTCATGGATCGTTTACAAAAACAAATTTTAGAAATTTTTCTTCTTATTTTCGACCTTTATTCATTTATAAGCATATATTAAGCTGATATTTTTTTTACATATCGCAATACATCACATAAGCTTTCAAACTTTTACAATAAACAAAAATTTGAGATACAATTTTTCTTCCAGTTGATTTCAGGAAATTTAATTATACTACATTAATCTTTTTATTGAGGGGGGGGGGGGGGCTCCTCTCAACCGAATTATGGAAAATTTTCCCCACAAGCACCCATTTTCTGCACTTAGCATAATTCAGTTTAGAATAGACTATTAGAACTAGAATTATGATTTTTTTGCTGCAACTGATAGTAATGTCTGAAGATGTGCAATATATATTCTGCTTTTAAAATTTTTTTTTACTAGTAAATAGCAAGCAAGGGTCTTACCTCTAATCCACTTTAATTAAATATGAATAAAAGCTGAAGTATTATTTGTGTTATTAAAAATCCTGTGAAGTGATTGGTTAATAACACGTATTCTTTAACTCACAATTGTGGTGTTATCATCAAGCGGTTTTATTATATTTTAAGGCAAATAAAAAAAAAGTAATAAAAGAGATAATGACTTTCTAAGAAGCTTCTGTAACTTACAGGTTAAGAACCACTGCACTATCATTTAACGTCAATCTGCATAAAAAACATCTATGTGTTTTTAAATTCTGAATGAGTAACTTTTTTTCCATGCTTCAGACAACATGACATGGAGGGCAAATATATCACATTTAGTCTCCACAGCACATAACTATTTTGGATTTATCGCAAAAATCAACCAACTACTAAAAGCAATGAGTTATGTACTTTGTATAAATTTCCTAAAAATTACCATACAAAACACTAATATATGTAAAATCTAAACACTAACTCACAAAAATGTTATACACAGAGATTTTGAACACCAGCTGAATAGACAATTTATAGAAACTAAAATTTTGATGAAAATAAAATAGAGGAAAAAAAAACGAAAAGCTCAAATCTACTCAAAGAGAGATACCAACTTCTTCTGATAAAATTAATCAGTTTTAAAGCAATTTTTCATAAAACAAAAAACATTTATTAGTCATTCCATGTGTAAGACTAATAAATAAATTTATTTTCTACACATAAATGAGTTAGAGTTCTTATATTTAAATTTAGTCAAGAGAGTTTCAAAATACAATTAATGTTATAGGTTGGGAACTAAAATTGTTTGAATAGAAATTTGTTCATTAGGTTAACATGGAGTACACGAATGTAATATATTTTTGAATCTTAAAACTATGAGTATGTATTTGTTTTTTTGGTTTTTAAATTTACAATACTATTTAAAAAAATTTTTTAATGCAAAACTAGTTGTTCAATACCAATACATTTTTAAAATATAGTAAAAGCTCAACTATCTGAAATGCAGGGAAATACGAACATTCTGGATATGTGAAAATTTCACATATTCGAGCAGCCAAAATCTTAATTTTATAAGTTAATTATTTTTTGGGGAAAAAGACAGTGCCTCAATAAATAAAATTAAATCATCACAATTGCTGCTTATAAAAAATTAATAAATAAAATAAAAAAGCAACTTTTACATTTATCGATAAAAATTATTAAAGATAAATTAAAAAAAATTTTCAAAACTGAAAGAAAAACAAATGCAGGAGAGAAACATAAAATAAGAATAATTCGTAACTTTTTGCTCTTACTTAAGGTTGAAAAACTAGGTTTTTAATTTTTTCATTTTTACTAAAAATAGTGCTCACAATAGAGAGAAAGAGAAAATTTTTTTTCTTCCTGAATGCCTGTTTTTAGATAGTAGATAGAGATAGAAAGTAGATAGAAAGAAAAGATAAATAGTAGATAGAAAGATAAATAAAAGACTAACAGTTGAAAAATAAATAAAACTGAAATAGCAAAATTAAAAAAAAAATCACAATAAAATTTTTTAAAATTTTCCAAAATTTGGTTCCTTGGATATTGGGTTTTTTACTGTAACTAGCTACTTAATTTTATTACTTCTGGTAACTAATAACATTACTGTGGCTAGGTATTTTAATGAAGTTAATTACATTATTATATGCTGAATAAACAGTTTATTTTCTGATAAAACATTATTTTATAGTGTCATTAGTTTATGTATGGTAGTTTAGTATATAATCATATTGTATTAGTTAATATATAGTCATTTTAGTTTAAGGTAACATTTTTGAAGAAATTAGAAACATGTTTTACTTATATAGTCGAAGTACAAAAATTTAAATATAAGAACTCTAAAGTGAATCATATCACAATTCTTAACAAGTCACTGTGCATGAAAAATATTTTAAAATAAAATTTGTTGCATAAATAAAATGAAAGTTTAAATAAACATAACGAAGAGTTATTAAATTAAATTATGCGTTTAAATAGAATATTTTAAAATTAAAATTAATCATCAATTAAGAAGTGAAAATTTTGAAAATAATTATTAACTTTTAAGTATTATTTTTGCATGGTGCTTTATAAATATAATCAAATAATTCATATTAGTTGGCATCCCCAGTAAATTATAACCACTGACATTGATAGAAAAGTAGAAGAAAATTATGTCAAATTTAGCTTCATAATATAAAATCTAAACATTAAAAAATAACACAAAAGAATTAAAATCAATGCTAAATTGTACAATAACAAAAAGTATAACAATGTTAAATCAAGAATAATCTAAAAATAAAATTGAGTTACGTCACTTTAATTGAACTGAGATAAAATTTGAAATACAAATATACATCAATAATTAAATTTTGAAATTAGAGATGAACTTATATTTTAGTAAATATTATAATCGAAATCTTTTATAATTGAGATAAAAAAGGAGTAATTAAATATTTTTTCAAATTAAGAAAATTTAAACATATCTTACTCAAAGAAAAAATAATAAATAAAAAGAAAAGATAACTTTGAATTTTAAGTAGAAAAACTAAGGATATTTATGAATTCTAATCAGAAAAACTAAGGATACTTATTTTCCTTTAGGATTTCCCAAATTACTAGTAAAAACAAACTAGAAATCAGTATTTTGTATTTTACTTTAGTTTAGCTAATAATATTGACATCAAAACATGAAATGTAATTTCATTGATATAACATACAATTAAGGGGGGAAAAAACGTCATTTTAAAAATTTAAGTTTATCAACTACTAAAAAATTATTGTTTTAAATTAACTGCTATATTACAGAAATTAACAAAATTACAAGAAATAAGAATCGATATAAAATAAATATTAACTGATAGAAGTCAAATATTACTCCTCTTAGTGAAAATATTTTAAACATCAGAAGTAATGAGGAAAAAAATAATTTTATTCCCTTCCAAAATTAGAAAATGCATTGTGGATCTACTTGGAATTGAGCGCATTTGTATACTTTTTACAAATTTCAATGGTGGTGTTTAATCTCATTCTACGTAGTTGGCACCTAAAAAACTAGTATAAGCACATATACAAGGCTACAGATATAAAAGAAATTGAATATTTACATGTAGTGAAATGTGGTTTTCAATTTGACATAACTGAGATTTAAATTTTTAATACATAATTAGATAATGATATGCATTTACATAGAACAATAAAATTTTTAAATGACAAACAGTGTTAATACATATTAATGCTTATAATTAATATACAATATGATACAATTAATTAATAAAAATTTATTTAAACATGGCCACTAAATGTAGCACGAAATTCCTAGTAAACCGTAATTAAAACAAACGTGAAAATTTTAAGCTAATTCTAAGAAATAAAAGTAACTTAGTGAAAGATAGAAAAGATTTAATTTAAAAATAGTAAAATGAAATGTACAAAACTACGTTTATTTTTTGCTTTTTAAATAAGCATTAATTTTAAAGTAAATTGGGCAATTTTTTATAAACTGCACAAATTGAAATACATATGTTGCTATGCTAAGATAAAAACGCTCAATAGAGAATTGGTTAAGTACAAAGAAAAAAAATCAAAGACATTTTATATAACATTTAAATGAGCTTAACATGAAAATTTTTGAATATTAATTCAAATAAATTTAAACACAAATATTAAGTTAGAAATAACACAACCGATCACAAACCACACTAAAACTTTGAATCAACAGAAATCATATACAATATTAACAAAGAAATTTTGACTAAAAATAAGTAAATAACAAATGAAGCATGAATTAACACGTATGAAAGTTAAAACTTTTCTTGAAAACCACCTAAAAAATCATTTAGCCAAAATATGCACATATAGTTTAAAGGCATATAAACCAAGCCTTTTTCACATCTATAAGTAGACTAACATGACCATAGAAGTTGACCATTAAAATGGCCATAAGGTGTGTAAAAGTGAGTTATTAAAATCACACAGGTGAATTAAGGACATTGCAAAATGGTAAAAATTCCACACCGCACAAAACATTCCTTTTGTACACTATAAAAATAAAAGAAATCTAGTTTTGCAGTCCTTCAAAATCATAGCTATTTACAAAGGACTGATCGGTATTAAAAGTACACACATTTATATATATATACACGTTATTTACATATGTTTTCATGCAAGCTAATAAACCACACGTCAATCAATAAACAACAAGTGGAACAAACAATGTTGAATTAAAACTAAATATTACAATATGTTTGCTGCACTATGCCCGATTCACTAAAAAATATTATGAGGAAAAAGTAACACCCGATTCATCGAAAATCCAAACCAACATAAGTCACAAACATCACAATTTAGCTACATTATTTGGTCATAAATTCTACTGTGCTGTTTAATAACACAACTGGCACTTTTCCCATCAAGTTAAAAACTCTAAGATAGTCATGACCGTTGCTCTTGTAACCTTCAAAATAGTATATCCGTACAAAATCTTGAACAAGGAGTTCTTATTTGTACTGTTCATTCAGGAAACATTTGATATAAAGGATTATAGGAAGGTTTTGCTGGGCTCAAGGGGTTGAGGCTGTAACTGAAATGCGGGGCAAGGGCCGGAGCACTCGAAAAAGGGGCGATGGATACAGCCGAAGAGGGCAAGACAGCCGCAGCCGGGTTAGAAGATGGTTGAAGGTGCGCTGGAAGGGGGTGGGTTGCACTGTGACCTGCTGTGTATGGAACTGCCGCGGCTATAGAAGAGCGGCTGGAAGTGTGATGATGATGGGCGGGAGGCGGGACTGGCAAAGATGTAGTAGAAAAAGAAGCAGACGATATCTGGCCAGGAGTCAAGACGTACTTTTGAGGTTGGCTAGCTCCAGACAAATATGCTTGATGAGACAAGTTTGAAGTGACATAAACAGCAGGACGACAATAATCTCTGCGAAAATAAGAGAAAGGTATAAGATGCTGGAACAAGGCACTATCAAGTATTTCTAAGTACAAAATTAAGATTCACCTGTATAAATCAGCCTGCGTAGTGAGATACAAAGGCTGACCAATATGTTGTAATGGAGAAAGATGAGCTGATGTAACACTAGGACCATGTCGGCCACCTCTACTACTAATGTTGCAGGGCAAAACAATAGTTTTCTGAAAAGTTCAAAAACATATTGGTACTTCTATTTGAAGGTATAGAATAGACATAGAATTGAACACTGACATAATGTATAAGTACTACTATTTATAGGCATAGCTCAAAATTCAATTAAAAACTGATATTATTTTATACTACCACTAAAGAGCACTGTGAAAGATCACGAGAAGTAAATTTTAAGGAAATTAGTTTAAGAATGTCTAGAAATATCTGCCAACATTGTAATCTTCATGATCGCTAAATCTGAATTCGCATTTTACTTGACAAAATGTTATTAAAGAACATTCTTACATAAAACTAAAGAATCTGTTATGAAATTTATAAAACATTTACAAATACACTAGTCAACTTTGTAAATGCTGTCATTTTGAAAACATCAAATACACTTTTTAAAAAAATCTCTTTTATTAATCTTGACAAAATTTTTTTTATCAATTACATAATTTTTTTTTAACACTGTGTAATACTTAATCCCAATTTCAAAACTTAATTTCTGAATAAATAAAAATAAGGAAAAATCTAAATGTCAGATTTAATTAAAAACAACTTGCTTTTAATGTTCATACACAGTAGACTTATTTGCTTTTAAAATTTTTTTGTCAAAGGTCTGCTCATAACATCCAATTTGAGTGATTTTATCAATTCACTTAGCATTTCACATTCAATTAACACTTAGAAAAAAAATTCCTTCACTTTTCCAGACTGATTTTACGCTCTTTCCCTGATTTTTGTAATCAATGGCACAAAAATTTGTGCCATTGATCAATTTTTCAATTAAACCTTGTTCTTATATACATAAATTTTATGTAAGAAAAAACACTTTTACAAACTATTAGAATTGTAATAATTTAAAAAAAAAAAAAAAAAAAAAAAAAAAAACGACCATTTTTTTTATAAAAAAAATCTTGATCATAAATGCTGCTCAAACATATATTAAAGTCATTTTAATTTAATTCCTTGACTTATCCAGATTGATTAAACTCCCATACTTTTGTGTCCATCCAGATTTTAAGAATTTATAAAGTTCAGCAGATTAATCAACTCAAACATATTAATGAAAACAGTCTGTATTCTAACAATAAAAGTAATTTAATATAATAAAAAGAAAATTCACCTCTTTGTTTCGTAATGGTGAACTGCTACACTTTATGAGCTTTTCACCTTCTAAATTCTGAACTTGTTGCTTAGAATAGTATTGATATGAATCTTTCTCAACACCACTAGAAGCATGTCGAGTAGAAGCTAAATTGCTTGATGATCGGCTAGATGTCACTAAAATGCTATCCGACTGAGGATTCGATGATGAATGGGATTGCTGACAGCAATCATTATCAGCTAAAACTTCTTGCTTGGTTGGCAAAATCAAAGAATTTTGGCTACCAAATTGGGATCGTGCTTCAGCATTCCCTTGCGCTTGAACTTTTTCCAGTAATCTCTTTTTTTGGGAAATGGGTTGGCAACTGTAAGTCACAAAAGAAATTAGTTATGTATTTTAGCACAAAGAAAAATAAATATAATCATATCTTTTTAAAGAGCATGTTAACAAAACTAACTTTAATTATTTAAATTTCAATAAAAATTAATAAAACTAATTTCAATAAAAAATGAATTACTATATCTTGCTTGATTAGTAAATCTCCATGAACTTTACAACCATTCAACCTTTACACCAATAATTTTTTTCTATTGTTTAAAGTTCTTAATTTATAGACATAAAATCAATAAAATTCAAAAACATTTTCAAAGACTTTACATAATCATGATAAAATAGCTAGTTTGTGATAAATATTGCAGAGAAAATTGTAAAAATCATGATTTTTTTTTTTTGTAATTTAGAATGACAATTGATATGGTAAAGAAAATCTCTCTTAAAAATAAAGAAAATTAAGCACTTTTTACAAAGCCTGAATAAAAAAATGCATCTTTAAGGGCTTTTAAAAAAACATAAATAAAAAATAAGCATGCTTAAGCACTTTCTAAAAATGCTACACACCCTGTATATATTATTTCAGATTCAGCATTATGTTAGACATTTAATCTTGACACACCAAATTGAAGCACTACAAAAATGGAGAAAACCTCCTTAGAGCTGAGCAGGCTAGGAAATCCTTTTTAAATGAATTATCTCGTAGGTGTTTCAAAAATAATTGACAATCTCGAAAAAAAAAATATAACAAAAATACAGTTGGCTGCATTTAGCTTTGGATATCCTTTTTTGCAGTAAATTTGTGAGGAATCTGAGGTGAAAGTTAAAGAATACCTTTGCACATCATGCAAATAGTTTTTCATTTAGCAGTGCCACTTGTTATAGAACTTTGAAATTATTTTTAAAATTAAGTACAGGTTAAGTAATTATTTTTTGAACCAGATTGATTTTTCAAATAATTTACAATTTTCGGGATACCAGGTATCAATTCAATTTGTGCTTAACAATGACAAAGAAGGGAAAAATAAATTATTTGCTGGAGGGCTTAAAAAAAGGAGGAGCGGGAATTGAAATATAACCTACGTTGATTTTTCCTTCTGTGGCTCAGGCTTGATTACTCGACCAATAACTGATGACGTGAAATGAGGAAGTGCTTGCAAAGGACTGTTGTAGCCTTCAGAATCAGAATCTCTCACAGTAACACAGCTAATAACATTTTTCCTGTGCAGCTGACCACCCCCATAGGACATCTTCCCATTTTGATCTATAATAAAAATCACAATTAATATTCAAATCGAAAACTGAATTAACTTGATTGAAACAGAGATAAAAATCACTCAACAGAAAAAACTGATAGTTTTAACAAATATTATTTTAAAGAGGTTAGTCTATAACTAGAAAGCAATAATTAGGATTCAATTATATATGTGGATAGGTTAGGCATGACCTAGAGAACTGAAACAGAAAAAATAACCTAATTTAAAAAAAAATTCTTTTTTTTTGTCTTAATTAAGTTACTTAGGATACTCTAGAATAATTTATTAAAATTGTATTTAGAATTAAAAGATAAATTACCTAGGGAAAAAATTATAATAAAAGTTAATATTATTAAATTAGGCATTTTCAGGAAAATTCAAAAGTAAACGTAGAATTGAAAATTATTTGGTTCTATTTCTAGTAATAGAACTTTGGTTCTTTTTCTAGTTGCAACATATTAATGGACTTTTTTAAAACTTTAAATTAATCAAAGTTCTTGTATAGTAATTTAAAAATTTTCAATCTTACAAGCACACACTGTTTTTCACATATCCATACCACAGTATTCCTTACAATTTCAAATGGTAGGTTTTAAGGACACAATATATAAACTTAATAGGGTTTTTATTGTTTTCAAAGAGAAATCAGTTTGCAATTCTTCATATAGGGAGGAAAAAAAAAAAAGATTTTGAAATCAAATTATTTTTTAAAAACTTAAGATAATAATACAAACCATTTTCACCTTCTGGTGTTAAAACCAACACACTGTCACAGTTAGTTGTAGATGATACTTCTGCAGTATTAACATTTAGATGGTTGGAGTTCATTTTTTTTGAATCACAAGCTTTACATTTCTTCGTATCACAACTATAAAACAAAACATGAATTTTTATTTTTACATGAAATCCTAAACAGAAATTACGACATAGCTTTGTGTTCTAGGATAAATTTATTAAACAGTAAATAAAAGCTTGCAATTTCAGCAGAATTACATTCATTCTCAACGAATTCCCAAATTAAAAGATGTCTTATACTGTGTGTTGATAAACATTAAACACAAATGGAATGCTTATTCGAAGAATAAGCAAACAATGTTGCAAACTTATTTTTAATCCTAATACACAGGGATGAGTTTTGCAGAAAACTAAAATTTTTTTTACATGCATAGCACATGTGTGTAGGAAGCATTTCTACATGCACACAGATTATATATGCACATATATGCACACAGATTAAAACTTAAATACAACTAAAATAAACTTCCCTCTAAAAAAACAAACTTTAGAAGGAAAAGAGGACCCTTTGGGAGACCAGCTGCGTTTGCTTGAAACAGTCTTTAGAAAGTTAAAACTCTGAAGAAAGTTGAAACTCTCAGTTTTAAAAACTTTGAATAAAAGAGGTATATTGAAAGTTTGTTAATTTTGTGTCTGATTTAGTAGAATATCCTGAAAATCTAGATTAAAAGCTATTAAGAATGATAAAAATTAATTTAACCTTTTTTTCTTTCTAAGCATGACTTTTTAATCTAAACAAATATATGATCAATTACCTATACTACATCTGAATAAAGCTCAATAACATGAATGGAACACAAATAATGTCACAAAAGCAGACAAAACAGAAGAACATAATTTTGTCCTTTCTTCCTCAGTGTAAAAACACAAAGGCATATTCTCCAACATTAGCCATACAATCATCAGTAATACTTACATTTTAATATTCACTAAAACTATACATCGTCAACCACAAAACTGTCGACACACAACATACATCTAATTGTTATAACAAAACAACAAAAAATACATTTTAACAATAACATTTTTACATTATAAACAACTAAATATGAACACAATATCCAGGATCAAAAAATACAATATACAGTAAATATCAAAAGATACATAAAATGAAAAATTTCTAGAACATACTATAGTACATAATTAGTGCAAATGCTTTTTTTGGATGAAAAAAGAAAAAAAATTTAATGAGAAATATTTCAAAGTTAAACCAGAATTGCAGAAATTTACATTAGTTACCAAATATTGAAAATCAGAGGAATTAATAGTAAGACCTTTTTTCCGACAAGTAATAAAGACAATATTCAATACCTGATTGTTGAATCTATTTCTTCTTCAGAATCTGAACTGATGGTGATGACACTTACAACCGGACTAGGAGTATCGTGTATAACTATAGTTGGCCTCTGGTGAACCTTGTCCGATCTAGCTGGTACTCGATTTCTATAAAAAAATTTCATACAATCAAACACAGTTGTTTAAACATCAAGTGAATAGAAATTAATATAAATTTTTTGAATAATAAAATTTTTATAGATTTATAAATAACACTAAAAGGGAAAATAAAAAATAAACTAATTCAATAAAAGCATGAACCTTCTCCTCTTTGTGTATTTACAAACTCAAGTATATGAAATTAACTTCCACGTTCAGCTTAAACTTTTTATATTTATGTGAATTTTAAATTCTAAGTTTATAACAAATAAGAAAAAAGTATTAACTTAACGTTAGATAATTCTTTATCTTGAGATGGTTAAGAAAGGTAATAATTAATTTCTTCATTAAAAAAAGAATAATTACCCTAAGTTAATACAAAAAAGTGAAAAAGATAAATATGGTAATTAAGTTTTAATTCTTCTTGTCATTATATCAAAATCAGTCGATACTTAAACAAATTGCAAAATATTATGTGTATATATACGCATAAAAAAAAGGAAAACTTAAAACTTGCTGAAAATGTGCCGTGTTATATTTAATACAGAAAAATTAGAAAAACAAAAAAGCCTAATAATCAGGGCTAGGATGCTGTTGATAAATGTGTTTCGGTTGACCATATTTTTAAGGGGCATTATTCAAAATTCTGGGATATTTTTTTTATTATTTTTTATGAATTTCGAATAACAGTTATAATTTTAAGAGCAGTTTACTTGTGAACTAATAATTTTCTTTATAAATTATGTCAAATTTTGTGTTAAGTGTAAGTTTCTTTCTGAAATTTCAAATTAATTTTTGCAAACCATTCTAAATCTTTCGATTAACAGAACACAAAAAAAAAAAAAAAAAAAAGANAAAAAAAAAAAAAAAAAAAAAAAAAAAATTATAATACAATGGAATTCTGATGCTTTTCAAGATAGTAACTAAAGAATAATAAATACTAAAAAATTTTTTCAATCAGGTATTTATTTTTAAATTATATATTTAACTCTTTAATAAATTTATAAACATAAGTTACAATAATTAAAAAAAAAAAAAAAAAAGCTAATGTAATAATTTTTTAGATAGTTTTGATGGCATGTAAAGGCTGTCTTAGAATATTTTTTTAAAGAATTTTTTGTTCATCAACATACAATCCCTGCTTATAATACACAAAGAAAAAAAAAGGCAATGAGTAGATACACTTTCCAAAAAAATCCGGCCATTAAGAAAGTCAACAAGTAAATAAAATTGAATTCTCTTAGGCACTCCAATAAGACATACCTTTCATAAGATTTTGAAGAGTGTGTGACATCCCACTGACTGGCTGGTATGCAACAGTTTTGATTGGATTGTATATGATGTGAAGTCAGAGGACTTTCCCACTTGGGTGGAGAGCTCTCTTTAACCCTCTTTTTTACAGGAGACAATTGAGAGTTGCTCATGTCCTTCTCCTTTCCAGGCCTAAAAAACAATATGTCTCATTCATTTATCAAGCATTAGAAAAATTTAGTAATTGGTCTGAAGGAGTAAGGTATTATTAGTCTGAACACATTTTCCGTTTATGTGCCACTATTAGCTTTTTGTTTTAATTAATGAAAAACTGAATTGATACGATACGTACAAAGAATACCCAATGTTTAAATTTATAATGAAATAAGCTTTTTTATGACAATGAAAGAAAAAAAAACTGATCAATACCATTCGCTCATATCGATTGCTGATCTGGGGGACCGCTCGATCCGCACAACTGTTTGCTGCTTTTGCTTCGTGAGGCTACACTAATTGTTAAATGACTTATTTTGCATAAGTTTTTGATTTTCAATTACAATTTTCGTTTTAGTAACTGGGAGTTTTAGTTGGTTCTATTTTTCTCTTCGCTTTTTCTTTCACATGTTAACGATAGAAAAGGTTTTCCTCTAATTCGTTTGATTAGACATCAAATTCCAAGTGACGAGACTGCAAATGTATTTCTTGGGTGACACTGGTTCTAAACAATCCTATATATCTTAGGCTCAGACCGCTAAAAGCAAGTCCAAATTCATCTCGTGTGAACTAGGGTAAAATTTTTAAATATAATTTTAATCTTTCTTACATAGTCTTGGAATGTAATTAAATGGGTGCTACTATAAAAAACATTTTTTTGTTTGTTTTTGTCTAATTAATGTAGTTCAGCGTTTTGTTTACAGGATTTTTTTATAAATTAATAGCTTACTGACACGAAAATGTAGTTTTCTTTGATAATAAAATTACAATTAAGATATGTGATCTAATTGCGACAGTTTTATATTTTTGAACAAAGTAAGGTTCTTTTAATTAAATTATATTTTAATAATTTATTTGAGTTATTTTCAGCAGCTTAATCTCTTGATTTAAAGAAACTGATATTAGTATCTATTAACAAAATGCATTAGCAACTTTTCACGTTTGAATTGCACGCATTTATGTGCAGTTTTGAAAAGTTATTATGAAATTTATTGAACTGATTTAAAGTAAGATGGCATACATTCATTCATTGTATATTGAATAGTTATTTTAATAATTTTTTAATCTTTTAATCACCTATTTTATTTATGAATGATTATTTGTAACAGATGCTTTAACTCAGCAAGAAATTGTTGATACCGTCAAATTTTGAGCACCTTATTTCATGCCTTTTAAAATTAAGAGCTTTCCCTCTTAAGTCGAATTTTGCAGGGGCGGCATATCTTCGTGAAATTAACGTAACACATGAAAAGAAAATGTTTCTTTTTCTTGAAAACTCATAAAGTCAAAAGACTTCTGGTGGTAAAGTGCATCAAAAACATGACAATTTGCTATTTATAAAATCTAAATATTTTTTTATCTTTAAAAATAACTATTGTATATCCTACCTTAGTTTTGTTTGGCGTTTTGTCGATGTACTGTTACTACTAGAGGATTTTGAGCCATTAGAAGAGTGATGCAATCTTGTTGGTATTAAATTACAGTGGGATGAATTAGAGGCTACAACACCCCATGCTTGCTGAACACTAGGTGCCAAGGCTTGAGGTAAAAGATGGTTTAAATGAGTCCGGTCTCTAAGATGTTCGTAGACAGCAGAGTCATGGAGTTCCTAAAATACAAAGATTTCTTCATAAATCATCAAAAATATATTAATATTTAATTAAAACAGAAAAATTTTATCATTTACAGTTTTGTGACTGCATATTGAACAGTTTCTATTCAGAAAGTCTAATATTCGCTGTTTAACTAAAATCCCTTTTACAACAGAGCAATCACAAGTCACATGTTTTAAATGTATAGATGGACGGGTCCCACTCTAAAAAAATTTAAAGACTGAATTTATTTTTTGACTAATTAACACATTCCAGTGTTGTTTATTAGAATTTACAGAAATTTATAGCTATCTGACATCAAAATGCACCTTTCCATGATAATGGCTCATATAGTAAATCAATAATTTCTCTATTTTTTCTAAAAAAATAAACAATATTTTTCTTTACAGCAAACAAAACAAAAATAGCTAACATAGTATACTTTTTTACACTAATCACTGAGTAAAACAGCGATATAAACCACTGACTTTTTCGTAAAGCAATTAATTTTCCATTTCACCATTATCATTCATCTTAGCTTAATAGATTTCCTTTCTTAAAAAATAAATAATTGTAATTTAACTATAAAGAGACGGGAGAAAGCGTTAACTAAAACAGAATTTATATTCAACAATAGTAGAAAATTTATTTTCGCAAGTAAATGTTGAAATTCAACCAATAATATTCTTTCGTTGTGGAGTGACATTATTACCCGATTATTTAGCAATAAATATTAAAATAATAACGTTTTTGCTAAAATTTAATTTAAAAAACAATTGGGAAAGAGATATTGATGGAACTTAGTCCACTGATTTTTTTCAAGACTGATTTCAGTTTCCAGGACTAAAGAGTGGCACATCTTTGAAAAGCTTTTGCTAAGGAAAAAAAATAGCTAACGTTTCGGAGCACTAAACTTGAAGCAAAGCTGCATGCTTAAATTTTAAATTTCTTTTTGAAGAGTTATCTGGACTTAAACCCTTTAACTTAACAATTATCTTACGCTTACTTATCTCTGGATTTTAAGTCAAGGGGTTAAATATTAATGCTACTATGATATAAGGGTGTTTTTCAATAAAGAGATAATGTTTGCCTTGAATTAAAATTTAACTTGAATTAAAGATCTATTTTTATATTATATATATTATTCTAAATGGTCAATTAGTTCAAAAATTTAAAAAAGAATTATTTAATCATCAAAGAGCAGTAACAAAAGAGAGGATAAGAAAAGCTTTAAAAGACAATAATACATACAACTGGTATGACTGCTGGTTGATCTGACAATAGAGCTGCTCTTTCTAACACTAAAGAACGACTCCACGTTTCTGAGTCCGAGAGTAATGGTTGCTGAATCGCTCGTTGTGAAGGAAGTTGTTGCCAGGATGGCACAAACATTTGTCGACTAGTAGGCCAACCAGACTGGATAGCATTCTACAAAAATAAATGGAAATTAAGCAAATAATACAAAATATCTCAAGACTTTTGAGATATAATTGTCAAACACTTTACCGTCAAAAGCATCTGGCGACCATTTTGTTCTACAACTGAAACAGGGACATACTGTTGTGCACCAACCTAGAATACAATCATGACACATTAAAAGCTATAACAGACCTATTTTAAATCATATTTAATTAAAAAATGGTCTAAAATTTTTTTAACTTTGACATACAAATTTAAGCAAATTGGACTGGCTGTTAACAAACTAATTTATTTTCATGTTATGCAATATGGAAATTAACCTAATGATGAGGTCTGTTATTCTGGATTAAGTACTAAGGATATTTTCTTTCTAAAGACTGTTATGAATGTTCTAAAGATTGTTCTAGCAACTGTCTAAATATTTCATAAGAAAAATCAATTTTTGAAACTGGTTACATAATTGACTAAAAAGGCACTTTGATACAAGAAAGTATTGTCAAAGTTCAATTATGTAGATCAAATCAAATTTTGTTTAGTAGTTATTATACAATCAAAAATAAAATTTTCAGACATTGCTCACTGTTATTACTAAAGTAATGGCATACTTTAATGATGACAAATTAATGAACTATTTAATGACAAATTGAATAAACTATTTAACTAATACAAAACAAATAAAAAAAATTAGTTTTGTTATTTGACAAATTTTATTTAGAATTCAACTAAGTGAATTTATTATAAGTAATCTTGCTTTTATAATTACAGCAACCGTTGATACAAATAACCAGATATCATTCATTTCTTTCAATTATCAAAACAAAATAAGCAGACCACATCAGTAAGATGCATAAAAAATAAAATTAACAAACTTTAACGTCAGACCAATAGGCACTCAAAGAAAAAGCAAACTGAATTTAAGATGGTTAGATGGCTTGGAAAAATATCTTGTACTGTAGACAAAAAACTTACAGGTGAAAGATTAGGTTGGGCTCAATGCCAGGTTGTCGAGCTAATAAAGAAGACTATAACAATACTATGAAATCTTTTTAAAGTGTTACTGGTCCACAAAAAGTTTTAACACTGTAGCATATTTATATCAACTTAATAGTTTGTTTTAAAGTTATAGTAACAACAACAGCATGATGAGGGCAATGTGGTTAGCATTGCATAGCGATAGTGTTTACATCTAAGATAAGCTGATACATATTGATCTGAAGCTGGGTGGTTTCAAGTTGCCATTGATGAAAGGACAAAATCCTAGTCTTTCACAACATCTCATGTGCCTTAACCAATGGGCAATTGAAGCTCAATGAAGTTCTTTTAGTTGCAAACATACTATAAGCTCAGTGCACATTAGTGGACTGACTCGCACATTTTGGGTTTGAAAGGCGAAAATTTTTTTTAATACATAAACGCACACACATATAAATATTTGTTCTATATATGTCTATTTTTTATAGATGCACTACAAAATTTCATTCCTCGATGCTTGCTTACTCGCAAAGTCTATTTTTCAGACATTTTTTAACAATCAAAATAAAGAACACTTTGTTTCCTTTATCAAAAAAATCATTATCTTTTAATCTTACATAGATCTTTTAAAAAAATTTATCATCATTTTTTATTTCTTCTTGCTGTTTTTTCAATATCTACATTTATTCCGTCTCAATAACGATGAAAGGATTGTTGAAAAGAAAAGAGCAGTAAAAGAAAACAAACTTCATGGAAAAATAAACTATGAACACTTATTAAGCTGAATATTAATAGTGTTCAAAAAAACCAGACAAAATTTGTTTCACTATAAATTATAGATGTTTTTACAAAAACATCGACTTAAATCTGTTCCTGGTTTCAGATTTTTTATAATTAAATTGGAAAAATACACTTTTGGAAAAAAGATAAAATTTTACCTTAAAGGCCTATTATATGGAAAAACTTATTCTCCTGACTTTCCCAATGTTTAACGATTCTGGATATGGGACTTTCAACTGTATGCATATGATACATATACATTAGGGGGATCAGAATATAATGTTGTTTTGGAGCATTAAATATTCGTTAGTCTTAAAGACCAATTAATTTTTTTCGATCCGGTATTGAAAGGTTGTTGCTAATGAGGGTGAATACATAATTGATTAAAAACAAAATCTTGGTAAGAAATATCAAATGCACAGAAACAACATTACTTTCCGGCCCCCCAAAATATATATACATAACATTTAATTACCTGTGTTAAAAGCGATGGTTGAATATGAAGAGCCTGTGGCTGAGCAGACTGTGCTACAACAGGTACTACATGCTTTGCTGGAGAATTTAAACCTAAAATATTATAAAATCGAAAATTAAATGTTTTACAAAAAATATACATCACTTAAGCAAACAACAGAATGAAAGCATTACCTGGATAAGAAGGGCATAAAATGGAGGAAACGCAAAGAGACTGAGCTGCATGCTGGAAAGGATCTACACGAGCAGCTGCGGCCGCTGCTGCAGCAGCAGCATACTGGTTCGTTGCTACAGCTGCAACTCGAGGTTGACTTTGAGTTTGGGATATATTCACCCTTGCAGGGGCTGTTAATTGATGAGCTGGTTGATAGAAACTTGCTGACTGCAATTGATACTACAGAAAAAAAAGACATTTAAATAAATTGATAGAAAACAAAAGAACAAACTTACAGCTGAGAGCAATTGAAACTAAGAAAAAAAAACAATTAAATGAATAAATATCGAATATAGGAATTGATAACAATGAATGACACTATAAAAAATTATAATTTAATGGAGTTTCTATTTAGTTTGAGAAATAAAGTTCAATGACCTTGTTTCCAAGTAATTTGGCAAAATTTAAACGTAATTTCGTACCATCATTTATCTCTATCTTGAAATTTTGTTCATACTATTTTATTAAAAAATACTTCTTTTTAATCATTTATTGTATCAAATATTAGATCTAGTGAAAAACATGACATCGCTAAATTAACAATTGCATTACAGTGAAATAAGAACAGCTGTTTTATTTCACTGTAATGCAATTTTTTTAAAAGAAATAATTACATTATATGTTAAAAATCTTTACCTTGAATCTAAAAACCTGATATTTGTCACCAATAATTTTAAGATTGGTAATATTCTAGGCATGTCAGAGACTTTTTAATTAAATTTTTTTTCTTCCAGCAATCTTCTAATGGAAAATCAAATTATCAAATTTCCTGCCAATTTGAAGGTTTTCCTATGAACTGTAATATCCTTTTAAAAATAAACTTAAAATAGAATAAAATAAGCAAATTTTTTGCTGATCTTAACTGTAAAATATGAATAACGCAACTCGATAAAAAAAAACTTTTAAAACGTGAAATATATACAATAAAAATAGCAAGTAAAACTTATACAAAATTCATGTAATGTAGCTTCAATGAAATTTGATGTAAGAAATGAGATAAAAGAGTGAAGAACATAAAAAAATACCTGATTCTGAAGATTATTCAATGTATTATTGAATGCTAAAGCAACATTTGAAGTTGAAGACAAACTGTTCACGATGGATACTTGATTACCATTACTGTCAAATCCTGGACGAATTTTACGACACACATCCATCATGCTTCCAGATGCTTTTACACTAGAGAAAATTTCAAATAAATATTTATTTAAAACTAAGTCATAACTATTTAGTTTTTTTTGACATGTGTGTTAAGTCAGGTCGGTCAATCAATTTAAAATTCTTGCAAAGCTAGGAAAAAAAAAAAAAAAAAACTGAATTTTTGGGTAATAGCCAGAGATATTCTAATTTTAAGCAGAGTTTTGATTTCACCCAACCTGAGAAACTTAGATGGGTTTTTTTTTTGCAGTTTTACTCAGGGTTTATAAAATTCTACCTTGTTGTCACAAACAAGTTTTTTTTTTATACCACAACTCAAGACATTATCAGGGTGTGCAGCCAGATTTTTCAACAAAAAATAAGCACCTTTTAAGTAGTCCACTCAAAAAATATTTTTAATAAATCACTTTCCAAAGCAAGGAGAAAAAAAACTCTTTTTAAAAGATAGAGAATTAAGTTCTTTTTACAAACATCGAATAAAAAAACACCTTTGAGCACTTTTTAAAAACACTATGCTCCCTGATTATATCATAATTAAAATAAAATATAATGCAAACTTCATAATTAAATTACGTAGATTCTTCCACAATTTCTATATTCTACTGTACTAAAGCATAAGAGGTAAATCCTTCAGAACTAATAAAGCCTCAAAAATGTCATCAAAAATATTTTTGCTTATTAACAATACAATTTCGTTAATAAATTTATTGGACTATTAAAAACCACTCATAAATAAATTCATTTTCCATAACTTTCGAGATATTTTAATTAAAGTTGCTAACATTTCCAGATTTATGAAATTCCCTTGCTTTGTGGTTCCTGTGACACTTAGTTGTTTTACAATCCTATTACCATGCATCTCATTGTGTAAGTCAGCCCATTCTTTTTGATTACGAGGAAGCAAATTTTTGGTATGTTGTGTAAAAAAGTAAACTGCAAAATATATATATATATTTATATAAATCTTAGTAATTAGATAATCTTGGACCAAATGGTTGATGGAAAGGGAAAAAATTCTCACAAGCAATTTAACAAGAAACGTCCATGATACTTCTATAGATGTTTTGTTAATTTAAAAAACCAAACAAAAACAACGTGAAAAATGATAAAAAACAACGTGAGCTAGGTAACTTATGTTGATCGATATATTTATTCGATGTCGATCGATATATTGTCTGCAGACTAGTATATATTTAAGTTTTTTTTTGCCTGAAGAGAGCCAACAACTTAGTTTATTAATAATTTTAATGCTGCCATACATAGTGGATAAATACAAATGTTAATTATAATTTTTAATTCTTGAAAATTGAACTAGCTGTAATAATAAATTGTTTACATCTATCACATAAATTTTTTCTGAGTTCATACAGTAATAAGCTCAGAAAAAGGGATAGAATGATTTTAAATGATATTAGACACGTGGCAAATGAGCATTCAAAAATGTTTTAAAAGTATGGATTCTTAGGATGGGGGTGAAGAATTTTTTTTATTGGAATCCGAATCAAACATTGAGATTGAAGTTGAATCCATTGCAGAGAAAGATTTGTAGCTTTATGGTATGTTTTGAAAGCTTTCAGTGTGTTATATTTTATGAAATACTCCTAAATAATAAATTGTTGAAATACTGTCACTTTAAAAACTTTACATTTAAAGAAAATATGAGAGAAAATTTTGTTGTAGATAATATAATAAAAATAGTTTTTAAAGGGGTAAATTGACTCAGACTTATTAATATCAATCTCAATGTTTACAATGCATCGATATTCCACGATCAATTAATGTCTGTCGTTATTACCAGTGTATTAAAATAGACTCCCCATATTAAAAAAAAAAAACATTTGATGATTGAAAAGTTTACTTATACACTGGAATACACGATAATTAAAATAAACAACTTACTTGCTACAATGAGCATATTCGATGAGGTGGTTTAATGTAACAAAACTGTGGTTAAGAGCTTCACCGGGTGTGATTCGTCGATCTTGATCGAGCGTAAGCATTCTCTTCAAGAGGTCAATAAACTCTCGACGATCAACCTTTTCAGCCAAAAGTTCAGAACCCTCCAAATCATTTGGAACATTAACCTGAGAAAAAAATAATGTACACATTATTAGTATAAGAAATATCTAAACTGTATAATTTCAAGCTACACTATTACTTCGAATATTACAACAATTATTTATAAAATTTACTACTATCCAAGGCATATTTGAGACATTTGATTGTTTTCAAGTATTTAGAACAAGCAGTATATGGCTGCTCAAGGTGGTTATTCCAATTTAGTGGTGAGTGAAGACAGCATCATTGTAGTACTAAGCACATCTTTGGCCGTATGAGATACATTTTAATTTGTTATAAAGAAGAGAAATTCATCCCAAAAAACTGAACAAATTTATTTGAGGAACATTGATTTTTTATTTTGAGAATATGGCCATACTTAAAAATTATGAAATATAGTCCCTAAAAGTGGTCAAGAGATTCATTCTTTTAACATCAAGATTTTCTGTAAAGATAAAAATTCAACAGCTGGGGCTGAGAAGCCAAAGCACCCCAGTCACAACGCCAAGAATTCAAAATAAAAATAGAGTGAACAATTAGGAGCATGGGAAGAGATCTACGGTTGGCCATATATCGAAAGGTAAAATAGCCAAAAACAAAGCAACCGCAATCAATATCAAATTTGAAAATAATTTGGCTATAACTAATTGCCAAAAAGATTGAGAATTAGTATAACCATGTAACTGAAAAATTTTTGTGGTAAAAAATAAAGATTTAGTTGCGCAACAGTGAGTTTTACAGTTGTACTGACATAAAAAGTTAGCCGTTACATTGATTGCCATGAAAAGAAAAACATACCCATATGAGCTTTTCATAAAAATTCAACAATTGGTTTAATTTAATTAAAATTTGATTAAGAATGATTAAAAAAATAAATTTAAGAAATTTTAAAAGTTAGGAAATATGTAATTCCTTTAATGGCATGACTATAAATATATGTAATTTTTTCATACATTTCATCATCTATAAATTCCGTTATGATGCTATTCACAGAAGTACAAACATTTCAAATTAGCTATCAGAAGAATAATTATACATATAACTAGGGATTACAAGCTTCTCCCAAAGTGGAAAAAACCCACCAAGTTGGAGTCATGGAAAAAAAAGAAAGAAATTTTTTTTTACACATCAAGAGAATTGTAAAAAGTAGCAATTTGTATTACTAAATAGTAACAATTCATTACTCAATTGTAACCGTAATTTTAACTACGAAATCGTAATAGCTGTCATCTCTGTATACAGCAGTGACTTTACAGTAAATAATAAAAAAAAAATTAGAATCCCTTTTCCTTAAAGCATTTAGTGTCTTTAACTTTAATTTATAATCTTCTTGGTTTTTTAAAATGTTCTTAGGATGAAGAATTTTAATATATATGAGTGAAAATATTAAAAAAAAATACAATAAATATATGAAAATCACTAAATATGTTAGCTAAAAAATACATATTAATTTAATTTAATGTCAAAGTCTTATTTAATTATCAATTAGCCTTATTTTAATTTAATGTTTAAGCCCAAAAAGTTCTAAACAAAGTTGAAAAGTTACAAATAAAGAAATAAAATAATTTTCTCCAACACTGGCTGCATGCAGAGACAAAACGTTTACGATAGCTGTGGAATTAATGTGTGCCTGAAAAATTACATCACAATGCACCTTACCTGAGCCATATCATCCAAACAATTGAAGATGTATTTTCTAGCCTCTTTACTTTTGATATTAGTTTCACTTTCATGTTCTTCTGGAGTCTAAGAATGAAATAGAAATGGGGGAAGAAAAAAAAACAGTATTACTGAATTTGACAAAAATGATATAGACATATTTTTAAATAAACAGAGTCTTATGATACCTTTAGACGCCAAAATGGATAACTACTATCAGTTTCCCGAAAAAAGAAACGAGTTGTTTTTGTGGCGGCATTCAGCATGTGTTCAGCAGGTACGCCTTGTGTTTGACTGATGTAACGAATCTAGGGAAAGTTGAAAAAATTTACTTTGGCTGATTAATTAAATTGATAATTAATACACATTAAAATTGAACTAATTACATAATACACTAAAATATGTCCTAGAAAAACTTTCTCTTTTATGACAACTAATATCTTTCAAAGTTGTATTTTAATACAAAAAAAAAGTATTTAATTTTTTGTCTATTATTTTTCAATAAGATGCAAAATCATTATCCATTACAAACATTTTATTTAATACAAACAAAAATATCTTTTTCAAATGCTTATTGATGGAAAAAAAAATTATAATATGAAACTCATGACAAAATATATCAAAATATTTTTTTGCATACCTGCAACTTATGAACAATATGATCTACTTGTAGCCAATTTAATGCTAAAATATATTTCTCAAGGTTTGAAAAATTTGATTTGAAATTACTTTAAATGCCAACACAAATAATACTTTACATTTGTAATAGCCTGACAGAAATGTAAAAAAAATTGCTGATAACTTTATTTTTTGACCATGCTTTTCCCCTAACGGTAAAAGTTGGTAGCTATGTTGTTGCAGTAGAGGAAGACAAAATTACCTATTTCAAGAAAACCAAAACTTTTAAAACAAGAAACAATGCTCGGTTACAGCTTCTCTTTAGTCTACTTACAAATGGCAATTTTAACTTATGAGATTATTTTTTAATGCATAGTGATTAGAACATTGTCGGCAAGCTTTTGACAAGTGTCAGTTTAAATCAAGGGTAGAAAACCATAATTAAAATCTAAAGAAACTGCATTTATTCATGGTACAAATATTTATTATTATTAATTGTAAAATTAAATTGCTTTTTATCATTTGTGTATTAAATAGCACATTGTATGCAGTTAAATATTAAATTACTATTTTTTAATAAACTAGCCCATGTTGAAAAAGAAATATCTTTCTATATATATTTATATATAAATCTTCATGAAATAAAGTCCTATCATTTTATATTAACAAAAGATTCACAAGAAGCACCATCGTAGTAAAGTAGTTTTCAAAAGGACAGTCAAATAACAGAAAAAAGAAAACTTAATTCTTATAACAAGACATTGTCAAAAACAAATGTAATAAGATGAAACTTCAAATTTTCTCTTTTTTTAATCTACTTTTTAAGAGTGATAATAAGAAATAAAGTTGATTGCCTTAAGTGGCAATACAAAATAAATATAATTTGATTGAAAATATAACACACAATATTTATTTATTTATAACACTTTAAAATGTTTCAATTTTCCATTAAATTAGACATTTAAATGGGATAAATAAACTCACTCTATTCTAGAGTATGTATTGCAGTAATAGAACAGTAATGACTAATATATCATAAATCAAATGTTTTCTTCACATGCGTGCACATTCATCGATAAAAGTAAGTTTGAGAATATCCAAAATGGGAAAATATTGACATACTTGATCATATTCAGATGATCCAGGATATAAGGGCCAACCAAGAAATAATTCGGCAATTACACAACCCAATGACCACATATCAATCGCCTCACAAAAAGGTAAACCTAAAATAATCTCAGGAGCTCTGCAAGTAGGAAAAAAAAAAACTTGTTTTAAAAAAATGACACAAAGGACAGATTAACATATAATAATAATAAATAATAGTCATGCCTGTAATAACGGGACTGCAAATAAGTAGAACAAACAGCTTTCGAAACGTGACTGGCGGATCCAAAATCTATGACTTTGACACGAAAAGGATTACGGCCAGGTTCAACTAACATTATGTTTTCAGGTTTTAAATCTGCATGAATGAGACCCAGTTGCTGAAAAATAAGATAAATGAACAAGATAAAAAAGAGATTAGACTACATTTTTTACAAATAAATTTATTTTTGTGGCAGGAAGAACTTCTCTTTGATCACATATTTTCCTTTCCTGAATTTAAATTAACTTTCATCCTTAAAGTGTATTCATTTAAATAGAAATATTATTAATAAAATACAAGGTTGATAGTACACAGGATCTCGTCTCAAATCAAAGAAATTTCCAACTTATAATATTTAATATGCTGATAAATGGTTTCATTTATGTGTTATTTAAAAATGATTATTTATTCAAATGGATAAGGAAACTTTTGGGATAAATTAAATTTTTAGCAATTAATCAATTAGAAATAAAATATATTGGCAAATGAAATAATAATGAATATAAACTAAATCAAAATACCAGTCGTCTCAATTACCTTTATATTTCATTAATATCTGGCTTATTTATTATTTTTCCTGTTTTAATAACCTGCATACTGTTAGTAAAATTTTATTTAATTTTGCTTTTATCTTTAAAGCAATATAAAGAATTGGTAAGAATAAAGGTGCAATTTTTTTTATAAACAATGTGAGCAAGGTAACTTATGTCAATCGAAATACTTATTTCTTACACCAGTCATGTTGTCTGCAGAGCAGTATATATTTAAGCTTTTTGGACTGAAGAACCAAGAACTTATTTTATTAATGCAAATGTTAATTATAAGTTTTAGTTAATCAGGGTTGGCAAGGTTTAAGACAGAATGGATTAATCCACGGTTTAAACCATCCTCTCCAAAACCATTTGTCCAAAACTGTCTTAAACTGTCCAAAACCCTTTTACTCAAATTATTTCACAATTTTATCTGAACAATATTTAAGAGGTAAACTAAACATACAACCAATAACATATTGATAATTAAATATACTAGAGAATATTTGTTTTTAAAAGTATAATGTTTTATTAATATTGTTTGACTCTTCAATTTAAACAAAGGAAGATTAATCAGTAATCAAGTTCAATTGGTTCTTCTCATTCAATAGTACATAACTGAAGTTTGGCCTTGCCATACAGGTTAAAATATTAGGGACTAAGTGCTTGGTTTGTCATAAACAGGTTTATTTATTTATTGTACTATTCAAGAATACTTTCATTTCATTCATGTTCAATTCTTTTAGCATAGTGGTGATACATCACCAGTGTCAGTAACTAAATCTGATGTTATGTCCTTCAAAACTGTTAATACATTTTTTAGTTATTTTGTATTTTCAATTTAAACTAGTATATAAATAGAAATTTTTTTTTTTTAAAAATAGATGTCTTTTTTATCATCCTGTAATGCAGATTTTATAAAAAAATTTAAAAAAAATATAGTGAAAAATAAAAGGTGAACAAATTTAGTATTTTTTTTAAGAATTTTTTTTATTTTTAATATTGCCATATTTATCCTTATGCAAAAATATTATTTATCAGTATTAAAAGCATATTTATATTTAAAGGATTAGGTATTCACTTTTGTTGTTCAATGAATTGTGGAGCTTCAAAAATTATAAACATTTTCCTATTATACTATTTTCTTTTAATAAGTTATAGTAAATTGTATAAAAAATATCAAATATTTATTGATACACGCAATTATTATGTGTACAATAGTTACACCTATAAAATTTTTACCTTTTACCAAAGTTCAAGGTTTTGGACACTTTAAGACAGTTTTACCCAGTTTAGGACAGTTTTACCAGTTTAGGACAGTTTTACCCAGTTTAAGACAGGGTTTCCGCTACGGTAGCTTTTTTCGCAAAATGCGAAGACCCCTCAAAAATGCTAAAATTCAACAAAGCATTTTCGCATTTTTGCTAAAGGATTTTACTACATTCCATTAAAAAAAAGCTTACTGATAGATTGGGAGATTTGGATAAAATCGAAATGTTCAATATATTTATACCTAGCAGGATGCCCCATAGNGGTGGTCAATTTAGACAGGTTCCACTGTATATATATAAAAGTTTATTTTAGTCTTTCGGTTGATTTCTGAAACCTATTCCCATAATTTTAAATTGGAGCAATCCTTGATGCATATTTTTTTTAAACATATCTGCTAAATTTACAGGGCATCACAAAAATAAACAAATAAAAAATATAATTGCAGCAAAAGGTGGACTTTATTCTCATTAGCATAACTATTTGATTTATTAAAGAAGCTGCTAATTTAAACTTATTCGTTTTAATAATAAAAATATCAGTTACAATCATCAATATAAAGTATAACATTTTTAATAAATAATATTAAAATTTTCAAATAAATTCTCTTTAACCATTTCAGCACTAAGCTTTCATACTAGCATATACAGCATTTTGATTAACATAGAAAATAAAAAAAAATTCTGTTGGTCAAATAAGGAGAAAAGAGCAAAAAACCTTTGTAAAAACGCCTTTAGGGAAAACTATGCTTTTTAAGGTAATGATTTGTAAATTATTTTCCAATTTCATTTTATAATATCAATCTCAAATGTTCATGTTCAATTAAAAATAAATAAATAAAGCACGAAAGATGGTATTTGGATTTTAAAATTAGAAGTTCAGCTCCAATAAAGTGAACACTTAAAATTGTTATACCTCGTCAGCATTTTCTTGACTTAATCTGTGAAGAATGCTGACTTCAATTTGACCTTGCCGTGCATACGAAGGATGATTTTTTAATATCTTGATGGCAACAATCTCATTGGTCCCTTTCTTCCAGCACTTAACCACCTGAAATAAATGTAAATATTATAAACAATAAAAAAATATAAGGTTTTTTAAAATCTTTGTTTATCAAAGAATTAAGAGTCATAAATTGTATTGCATAAAATAATAAAAAAAAATTTTTGAGATTAATGTTGCTTTGACACTCAAATTTTACTTGCCACCTAGTATCAATTCCACCAAAATTTTTAAGAACAAATTCTAAACATAACTAATAAACTAGGTTGGATTTTTGCTGTAAAAGAAAATCTGCTCCTCCTGGGATGTTAGGAGAAACTGGATGAAATGGAAAATGACCAATACAGTTGCTTAACAATAAGTTTTGTTAAAAATTCCTCATATTTAAACAAATTAAATTTAATACAGTATCAGGAAGTTAAGCTATTTGTAATTGTGAATTAAATATTTTTCTTCTTATCTTTTAGTAAAGTGCATGTCTAGAACAGAAATTTGTTAATTCAGTTGTTATTAAAATTTGATTATGTTATTTTAACAGTTCTTGATGTAATCATAAAGTAGATTTTAATATACATTATGCAAAAATTTGAAAACTCATAAAGCATAAAATATGCTTAAGAAATTCATTAAATTTCCTCAATAGTTGCTTTTTAGTTTTCAATTAATTAAAGATTGATGCATTAAATAGCTGGAAAATTAAAATTATTAAAATCAGATTTCAATTATATACTGTTTAAAAACTGTTCTAATATTTGAAATTTTCTTTTGAAAAAGGGTTTCTTCCACTTGTGTTGGAAGAAGCTAGTTATTCCTGCAAATGAATAAGTTTTTTTTTATAACATGCATGTTTTAGGAATTTAATTAGGTGTTTTTTCATTTACTGCTAAAAACATTAAGTTAATTTTGTCAAAATTGTTTAACATGTTCTCTCTCATAAAAAGTGAATTTTTAAAAATCGCTAACTGCAATTTTGTATCAAATAAAGTTTCAAATTTATTAGAGCTTTTTACTATGAACTTTCCTTTTTTTAAAAATTTATTACTTAGCTCAAAATTACTTATTCGTTTATTTAATAATAAATACATTTTCAGAGGTAAGAGTTATGCAACAACATTTACCTTAATTTAAATGCAAGAGATTTTTTTGTTTTTTTGTGTGTGTACAGTAAAATTTTTCAACATAGATTAAACTGGTTTTAAAATCGAAAAAATTATTATTTTATAATAAATACAGTATGTTCCATATATAATATGACTATCTTTAGAATATGATTACAAAATCCATGTCAAAAATTAAGTGAAACAAAAGCATATCTTAAAGACCCAACATTAACATTAAAGATATAAAAAAAGAAGAAAAAAAACTATCTTAGAATCAAATAAATCACTACTGAGGAAGACAGTAAGGTAGATATTAAATCTATTTGATTGCCTTAGATCAATCTGCTCAGGTGTAATTTTATATTCAGGTAAGAGATAATAAAGAAATCAGGTAAGAGATAATAAAATATTAGAAAACCTCCAGGCTTAACCAGTCAAAAAGTGGTTTAGGAATTTTCAATACCAACTGTCTCACCAGTTCTTAAGACAGATTTCGGTAGTAGTATCCCCCATCCCCCTGCTTGCTCAATGATTAGTTTGGAACACAATGTATACATGCTTTTTGACAAAGATTCCAAAAATATATAATAATGACTCATTACGGAACAGCATGTGTACATTCCTTATTTCTAAAAAAGATTCTAAATAGAAAGAGGGATATTTATTTACCTGACCAAAGGTGCCCCTGCCAAGGAATTCCAGCACTTCATACTGGTTGGTAGGTGAATATAATACTTCATGTTGTACAAGTTGGTAGTCTCCCTCGCTGTTGGAGGAATTTGATTTTGCTGTGTTTGGCGCCGTGGTGATAAATTTATATACCTCTTATCTTGTTTGGTAGTTGTAGTTGTTGTGCTGTTTTGGGGGTTGATGAGAGTATTTATCAACCACGAGGGAAAGTGCAGAAGCATTGTCCACACCTTAAATGTCGCATATCAGACCACAAGGCACCTGTAAGAAAATTTCACATAAGACACCATCTATTCCAAATTAATTGAAAGAAAATTTTTTAAAATTAGTAGTAGTTGGTAAGTTACATGTCTATAACTCCAACACACATAAAATAACAAAGCAGATAAAGAAAAAAATATATTTTGAGACTAATTAAAAAAAATAATAATAATAATAGCAGAATAATATTTATTTTAACTAAGACAGATAACAAGTTTTTGATTTAAAAAAGAGGTTCCATAATCTAAACTTAGGTTTCTGACAATAAAAATTTGTAAGTTTTTTTAGAACTAGTTGCTAGATTTAGAGGTCTTAACTATCTGATTTTAGGCTTGTTCATTTTTTTTACAGGAAAACAAAAGTTTCAATGATGGATTGGAAAGTGCGTTTGATGATTTTAAAATTTTGTAGCATATGGTTAGCTACAAAAGGATGCAGTACTTCAAGCAGGAGAAATTGTTTACGTTATATCACATGGTTTCCTGTTTGTGGCAGGATTTTGACGCAGTAATTTTTTTCTAATTAATACATCATTTAAATGAAAGGTCGATTGTTTTTGTTGTTTCTAAATAGAAAAAAATGACAACAAATTTTTTTTATTTTCATTTTATTTTGATAACGATATTTGATTGATTTTAGATATCAGGTACATAACAAAACTCTTAATAGTGAAGGGGGGGGGAAGAAAAAAAATTGCAAACATTTGGTCAAAAATGTATCAAGCATTTAATCAGTATATAATCTGTAAATAGAGTGATAGTCAGAGCTCATTCTAGGCAGGGTAAACAGGGCGCAGCACCCTGCTGCCCTTTTAGTCAAAAGAATCCACCCTGTTGCCCCTGAAGTAAATTAGTGCCCAGATGTGATAGACTCCATACCCTTTTTGCCCTTTCTTTCTTCAACCCTTCTTTATTTTTCCCCCTAATTCTACAATGGATTTCTTAAACTTTTGTTATTTTTAACTCTTTTTATTTAGTTTGTCATTGGTGTCGATACATAGATTTATATGGGAAAGGAAAAATAGCCATCACACTCCCTTGTTGCACTTGTCTTTGAAAGTTTGCAGTTATTTCCACTATCATTAAATCATTGTTATTAATCATTTTAATTATTAAATCGTAATTACAGACACTTAAAAACATACATTTATTATTTTATTAATATATGCATACATTTTTACTAAGCAAATTAGCTCATTAACTCGATATATATGTTAATTTACTAATAAAAATTAGTAATTAATATGATTGCTTTGCTACTTTCAGTAAAGTAAAAAAAACTTTTTTTACCAATTGACAATGTTTTTTAATAGAACGGGTAAAGCCCATAGGAAGAAATTATTGCTTTTTTAGAATAATAATGCCCTTTTTTTAAACTTTTGCACCATGCCCTTTTTTCAGCCTAGAATGAGCTCTGGTGATAGTTAATCGATTTGTTAATGCTAATTGAAGCTTATAATAAGAACACAAAATAACTGGGTAAGTATTATAGCACATGAAAAAAGCTTGGATTTTTAGCAGTGATGAGAGCAACAAACCAAGAAAGAAGTTCAAACCTCAGAAGTTTCCTCTTGACAAAACAGTCTGGCCATTTTGCTTCGATTGCTCGTACAAAAGTAGTGAACATAACACATTTATGTTGTGTTGTGGGAAAGTGAGTGGAGAATCTTTAGACACAGAAACACTTCAGGTCTCATAGGTAGCAGTACGATTGAGGGACATGACACTACAAGTACAATAAGCAATATTAAACAAAACAATAAGAAACATAACATTATTTTTAGCTTATAAATTTACTTTAAAAAAAACTTATAATAAAAAAATATGACCTATCTTTTTCAGTTATACTTAGTTCTGTTATTGCAAGCCACTATTTTATAAAATTTTTTAGGATTCTAAAAATGGGGGGGGGGGAATTGTTAATATAATAAATATTAACAAGGGTATAAGAATAAATTTAGGATTTTTAATAAAAAGCAAATAAGTATTTCTAGGAAATTTCTGCCTTCAGAAATAAAAACAGGACTTCACTTGTTACTTATGTATTATTCTTTAATATTTAAAAATAATACATCAGTAGCTCAATTTAGAAACAAGAAATATTAACGTTTGATAAAAGGATAAAAATAATCAAGTTAAATTGATTTTATTTCCCATGAGCAAGAATAACCACTCCAAACTTTACCAACGTTAAGCAATAAACCTGAAAAGTTTTTTTTTTGGAACGGAATTGTTTGTTTATACGCGGGGCACAGCTCATTTAGTACACACACAAAGTAAAAATTTTGACATAAACTAGGAGAGGTAAAAAAAAAGTGCCACATACAGAAAAAAAAAAAAAACTATCAAATATTATTGTATTACATGTCTATTATATTGATACATGTCTGTCAAATCTTAAAAACTTTTTAAATACTCTAATGGATGCTTATTTTTGAGTGCTTGAAATAATCTGATTTTCATTACCATTTTCATATTTTTTGAAGCCAACAATGCTTTGAATCAAGTATAATTCAATTTCAGTTTCTTGGGATTATTTCATATTATTAATTCTACTATTATTTAAACAGTATATTTTATTTAGCAATAACATGCAATTCTGATTAGAAACTAAATATCTAATATTCTTCAGTAAAAAGATTTTTTCAAAAATAAAAGTTATCTAACGTAAGAAACAAAAGCCCAAACAATAGGTATAATTAAAATTACTTACTAATAATATTAACGCTCGTTCTTCTTTCTTAATCTCTTGAATGCTTCATTGCAGTTATGTTAAACTAAAAGAGTCTGAAAAAAAAACTTACCATTATTTAAATAACATTCATTTTACAATAAATAAGCAAAAAAAAAAAAAAAAAAATTTTACAANAAAAAAAAAAAAAAAAAAAAAAAAAAAAAAAAAATTGGACAATAAGATGGACAAATAGGTGAAATAACGGACAAATGGTTAACATTTTTGTTTAAATGTAGTCAGGGGTCTGTCTAAGTTTTTCTGAGAGGTACCTAATTTGTGAAAATTTAGACATAATTTGTGAAAAGTTAAAAATTATATTAAAAAATCAACACAAAAATATGGATTTAACGTTTCTTAAGGGATACAAAAATAAAATTTTAAGAAAAAGAATTTTGTGGAACTACCGTTTTTCCTAAAATTGAATTTGTGAAACTACCATTTTTCCAAAGTTGAATTTGTGAAGGTACCGCTAAACGGTAGTAAATTCGGCCTGGACAGACCCCTGGTAGTACAACATGTAAAGGGTTTTATACAGGAAGCCTGAGATGAAAACTCCTAATTTGTAATGGCTGTAATACAAAACGTATTTGATACATAAAGATATGAGTGCATGAATAAATAATATTAATATTTTTAAAAAAAATTTACTTATGTAAATGTAAATCATATGCACGTTGCTTCTTCTCAACAAAGTCAAACACACACCTGCCACATTGTTGTATCAAAAATAAAGTGGAATGCTCCGAATTAAATTTTCGTTGGACCACTTTAAAACAAGTATTAGTAGTCCCCCAGACCTACAATTGATGATATGCTGTTTCTTTCTCTCTTTTTTGATTTTCGGTTTCATGCTTTGGTTTGCGTTTTTGTCACAAATAGTTTATTGTAATTGAGATATTACACATATTTTGTATTGAAAATTTTTTTAAAATTTAAATTCCCTTTATAAAGAAACCTAAAACAGACATGTAAAAGCACAGGTGAAAATGTGTACGGACTAGCAATACCTTATTGGTTATTAGTGACTGAAGTTTCTTAATTTCTTCTTTGGAGAAAGTTACACAAATAGCAGTAACAGGGTTCCCACTTAATTTCAATGTAAATACAGGCCATATTTCATTATATAACATGCGAATTTTCATTAGAAAACTATGAATTTTAATTTGTATTGATTATTATTATGGGAATATGTGAGCAAAAAATATTATAGAATGGAAACATGGAAAAGTTTTGCTAAAATGTGGAATTTTTAGAAAAAAATAATTGTAATAGATACTCGAATCATTTAACTCGAATCTCAATAACTCAGTGTTTCCCAAAGTGTGGTACACGTACCCCTAGGGGTACGCTCTTGCAACGAGCAAAACCTTTCAAAAAATTTTATTTCAAAACAAAGCTAGCCATAAAAATTTAAGATTACGTATTTTTCTATTGGCTATTTTTTGCAGAGTTAACATTTAATAATTATAATAATTAATGGTGTCAACAGCCAGTAGTGATTTTTAACTTTGGTGTAATTTTTTACAGTAAAAAATACATTCGTATTTTAATTAGTGGTACACAGCGTTACAAAAAATTTAGAAAGGGTACACAAAAGTCATACGTCTGGGAAACACTGCAATAACTTACTACTGTAACTGACAATTCTAAGAGAGGTTATTGCTAATGATGATGGAATTTTCTAGGTTCTTGTAAAAAAATGCCACTTTCCATAACTATTCCCCGCTTTTCAGTGTAAAAATAAAATTCCTTGACAATTCCAGGATATTGTTTCGGACTAACCAGAGGAAGTAGCAGATTTAATAAATAGGTAGAATTTTTTTTTTTAAAGTCACCTTGTTTATTTCCATATTCGTTTAATTTCATTAAACTAAAAATACTACATAATCTTTTTCGTGTCTACAGTTTTTAGAGTTAAAAAGTGTTTAGATTCTTTTTTTCCTTTTGGTTGAGAAGCAGTTAAATTATGCAACTACCTAACATATCAAAAATACTAGCTTTATTATTTTCATGCATTAAAGTCTTAGAAAACAATTTATGATGCACAATTCATTTGTGTTATGTTGTGATTTAGAAACCTGTTGCATTTTGTGTAGTTAATGTACTTTCTTCTTTATTTAGAATAAGTTTAACTTTAATGT